GCCAACCAAACCCCATCATGACACATCTCCTCACCAGCACACAACCCGCCTAAAAACCCGTTCCACACTACTCTCCACGGGAACAGAAGAAGCGCCTCTTACGCAAGTGAAAGACGCGTTCTTTGGCTCTTTCACCATGTGGTCACTGTGATATGTGAGAATCAAGCAACACACGCCAGTTGTCTGAAGATCTATTGCATTATTTTGAGGGCTAGGTTGTGTATAGCAAACGCCGACGGGCTGCTTAGCTATCTCCGCCATTGGCGTCCAATCCGTGAATCAGTTGACTGCCCCGTTCGGGCAATGGAATGGTGCTTGAGAGAGGGAAGAGAGTGAGACCAACTCTGTGGACTGTGTTCCCAAGCACTCAGTTCATATTCTTCCGTATGAACAACCTGAAGAGCTGGAACCCCTCACGGTGCGCTAAAATCGATGGCTTTATACGCTGTCCATTGCCAGGATAACTCGATCCTCCTTTCAGGATGGCGTCAGACTGTAATGGCTCCCTTTTAATTTGGCTTGTGACACTTCCACTCACAGTTGGGATCCAAGCAACCTCTTTTGGGTTTGTGTGAAATCCGGGTTCATCGTACGCGGGCAAAGCGAGTGTGGCAAGCATAGATCGGCTGTTTAGCCCTGTCAGCCACTGTTTCCGATCAAGCCTCATGTCTACTTAACATAGGGCTCGGGTAAGCGAAGGAGAATGTGATAGTTTTCGCGAAGTCTACAATCGTTATAAACTAAGTCGCGTGTGAGCCACCGTCCATGGAGTGACTGAATTCAACTATCTGTTGAATTTAAATTCAATATCGATTGAATAATTCTAATGGATACAGCTGTGATAAGACGCCGAAGCCTTATATAAACGTCTCATAAGATAATGCTTAAATGCGGTTCAGTCTAAGGAGTTACCAGGGAATGAAGATAATGGGGGAATGGTCACTGGAAGGAATATCAAAGATCGAATGCTTTTGGATAAGACGCTGGAGATCAAAGGTTATGCAGCGACCACTAGTGTTCATTAATCGAGCCATAGCGACGGTCGGTTGTTGCGAAAAACTATTTAATTTATCACAAATGCTGCATATATGCAGCATTTGTGATAAAATGTGATATAATGTGAGGAAAGTTGGCGAGAATTATTGTGACACCGTGAAAACCACCGTGTGCGAGCAGAACTAAAAAACATCATAAATCAAAACGCTATCATAAACATATCAACTGAAAATCTTATAACCGACTCTTAAATTACACGGCGATATCGCCGTCCATCAGTACATACACAAAATAGTGTGAAGAATGTACATACAAATTTGCTACAGACAATAATCTTATAAAGCAAGCACGGACATTTTCAGAAGTCCGGAAACCCCTTAACAAATAAAGGTTCCACGGACAACCGTAAAACATTTTAGGACTGTGGTACAAGATGCGACAAGTGCAATAGCCAAGGGCTAAACATCGTTTGGCCGACATCAAGCAGCAGAGCCGATGACCCGCGGCAGCGTCTTATGCATAGTTTCAAAACCAAAAATGCCTATCAACACCTTATTTTTGCAGATACGAAATTATCAGAGTTCAATATCGTTCAAAAATACGCGTACTCTCGAACGCATTTTGATCGGAATCGGTAACGACCTCCGTCAAGCGCCCCCGAGTCAACATTGCCTCAGCGGGATCCGGCGCACCTGAACTAATAGGATCCTCTGTTAAGCGCCACCGCCAAATACCAGTTCCAGCCAATGAACATGCAGCATTCTCCATAACAGTAGCACTGACCGAGGAATTAATTAAAAACGATAGGACCGGAGCTTGCCTTAAGTTTTTACCCTCTAAATATTCAAATTTTTATCCAAGTTAAATTGTCAATTTGCACTGTCCAAATCTTTAAAACTGTGCATAAATCATAGCACTTTAAGTTTTGATTGAGATCATCTTATGCTACATTAAACAGAAAGTGACACGTTGATTCGTTAATATTTTGCTATTATTTTCATTGGCTCTCGTATCGGTGATTGGCATAAAAGAAGCCCCATAACTG